GAATAGTTTATAAAAGGAGCTGAGATGATCCAGAAGGAACTCGGATAAGAACTGAATATTCCTACATACTTTGCATAATGCTAAACATACAATCCATGATAACGAAAAAAACAATATCGTTATTTATGCTGCGACTTATAGCACAAAATAGTAAGAAATACTTTTTACTGGCTGTATTGGGGAAAACCTTGAAGTCCTTCTGCTTTTAAGCTCACTTACAGTCGACTGGATGTTTTAACTGAATATTTTTGGACTTAATAGATATGCACTTCCTGAAAAAATAAAAACCTTCCAGCAGTGTGGAGAAGGTATTATCCATTTATTACAATAACAATTCTCTATCATTTAAAGTTAATATGTAATACAAATAGATTAAACGTTTTACTGGCTTTGTTGCAATTTCTGTAGATTTTCTGGCTTGTTATTTGTATTCAGTTTAGAGTCTGGCCATCTCAAAAGCAACATAAGAAATTTACTGAAAAGTTCTTACAGTATTTTGCTACAGGTGTAAAACAAGACCCATTCAAATGCCATCCAATTAAAAAATATTCTGTAAATCTGCCCAGATGCCAATCTGTAAAAACTAATACTTCAGACACACTTTAATATGAAAACTGCAGTGGGCCCAACTGCTCTAAAAACTTATCCCGCTCCCACTCAGTCCAATCTTGTAGTACACCTAAAGCAATTATATCAAAGATGGGCCTCTACAAACCTCACAGCATGACCTCTTTAGCTTATAAGGCACAGTCCTTCTGCTGTGTCTTGAAGAATTCAGTTACAGAAAAATTTTAAATGAGATACTTAAAATCGACATATGAACTATAAATTGAAAGTCAGATGCAGAGGATATTTTTCAGTAACAGAAAGTAACTATTATTTTTGCAAGAAAAGCTAACCACCTATTAACAATCAGTTTCTCAGGAGATGGTTCTAGTGTTTGTACATTTACAACGTACTGTGTGCCCCTGCATCTTCTGTAAGTGGAAAGTGTTGTACTCAGATGATTGATGCATTATTTGGCTATTTTAGATTTATTTCTTTTAGAGAGTAACATAAGTCATTTCTTGACTGACAAGAAGCCTCAATCAATCCGCAGGAAGATAAGCATTTAAATAAGCCTGATAAACAAAATAGTGATGTTCCATGCAAGAAACATGACCTTTCACCAAAAAAAAAAAAAAAAAAAAAAAAAAAAAAAAAAAAAAAAAGAAGAAAAATGCTTTGCTCTGGACAGTAAAAGAACCTACCCAAATACAGCATCCCAGCTGAGTTGCTTTGCTTGTTTAGAATCAGAATTCCGGTCCAGTTGGAGAACTGTTTCAGAATCACGGAGCAGTCGCTTGAAATTTTCAATTTCTTTCTGAAAATGTATTTCAGGAAAAAAAAGGTTATTAATCATTCCCTTCATTGAGAATGATATATACCAGAAGAAACCTTATTACCCTTCGCTCTGTAGCTTTATCATTCTCAAGGTGACGGCAACAAACGAGCAGATCATGTAACACAAGACTCATGGTTCAGTTTAACAGGACAGTCATTTGCATCTGCAAACAGAAAAAAAGGATGAAATAAATTATTTTATTTAACACAGAGCCAAGTCAATCAGTTCAAAATTTTGAATTTTCAATATATTGCATTTCCATGTCAAATACAACAGCTTTACTTCACTCAAAAGCTCATTCCTCTCTGGGTTGGTGCTACTGCTCACAAGACAGAAGTAGAAAGTGTCATGTCAAGAATGCAATCTATTCCGAAGAGCAGTAGTTGTGGACAAAAACAGAAAAGGGTCCTTTCACATGACTGACTTCCTTCTTTTTAAGGCTAATGAAAGAGCAGAGAGTCGATGAGACAATACAGACTGAAACATGAACGGTAATGAGAACACACTCGGCTCTATGTCATTTTAATCAGGCAAACAGCACTAACTTTCAGGACATAGCAGTTATCAGAAGCACTTTTAACCTGATGAGGAAAAGGCAGCTCTTTGAAAATAAAACTTTCTTCCACTCTAACCTTCTCTATTATACAGCTATGCACCATTATATTTACAAATGCCTCTGGACTCCAAATACCACAAGATGCTCAAATATCAACGACAGGAGAAAAATACTTTTTTGCTTCTATTACTACTTAAGATTATGCCCTACCTCTTTTAACATACGTCCGAATCAGATCAACCTTACATTTCTGGTTTCCAGAAAATTATGTTGACGCAGATCATGACAATGAAATTGTATGCAGCGTCCATGCTTCTCCTTGTACCCTTTCCCTTAAACTAGCCTCAGGACAAACTCTTATCTGAAAAACAGAGATGGACATGCTGGAAGTAACACCAAGCATATGCTGCTGAAGCTGCAGTATGAAGCTGAGAACTGGCATACATGATGCACATCACTGGCCCCGGAACACTTAAGTAAGAATATATAAATAACCATTTAGCTGAATAAGGCAGTTAAAACTTTAAAGATCTACCGTCTTATACAATCATCATCTTGCTTTCATCTTCTTTGGATTCAACAGAGATCACGCTGAGACAAATGGGTTTCTTCATATATGTCTGGAAACCACATTTTAATAGCAAATTATTTTGACTGCTTTATAATCCACGTGATTACTTTGACCGCATTAAAAACCGAGGTGAGGAGAAAAAGGACAGAAGAGTTGACCAATCTGTGGAATAACCAGGGGCAGGGGTCCCTGACATATACCCTTCCCAAAGCAAAAACAAAACAGCAGATTTCAAATGTTTGACGTTTATGCCATCTATACAGCGCATCACAGGAAAAAAAAATACCGAGCACGTTCTTTGACAAAAGGTCAAACTTGACAGATAGTCCTGTGCATAAAACTCTGAATATTGAGAGCTCTTGTTCCTCTAGAAGAGTTCGAACCTCTGTCTTTAATCCCCTAAGATCATCTTTCCATCTTATCACAGTGCTAGGATTTATGGGAACATCACGACTTGAATGGCCTTTTTCCTGTCACATATTCATGTGCCCACCTTCCTGTTCTCTTCCTTGTAAATCTGTGTCTTAAAGGTGACCAGAACTGAGAACTCAAGACAACCGTGAAACACAACGTTAAGGCACCACCATGTAGTAGTGGCAGCTAGCAGCTAAGATGGATGGAGACAGTCAACACGGAAATGGAGCTGAGTAAACATGACCAGAAAGGGATGGTGGCTAGTTAGGTATTGAGGAAAAGGAACCTATGGCAAGCTTGAAAGGCCTGCTCTGGCGTACAACTAAGCTCAGTTAAGCAAGGAAGCATTCCTCTACTAACTTGCTACTTATGCCGAAAATAACCGAAAGCAAGAAACAACATTTCACATGCTAAAGGCTGCTAAAACATTGATGGGATGAAAAATTAAGGGTTGACTGAGAACTGTGGCAACACGGGGTTGTATGTTGTAGGGACTGGGGCTCAAGAAGAAAGAGGGCCGCGTCTTCTTTTACTGGCATTTAAAGGTATTTTAACTACCATGACAACAACAGTGACAAGTTCCTAACACTGTACGCACTTGCCGTTTCTCTTTGCAGCCCAGTCGCCAACTACCAAATCATGACGGCACTCATCCCCTTTCAAAAAAAAAAAAAAATACCTGGGACAAGTGGGACAAGGAAGGAGCCCTTTAAAAACAGCAGACACGCACCGAGCGCTCCTCACCGAGCTACGCTACAGCGGCCCAACCGCCACCTCGCGGGTAACCACAGCCGACCACCCCAGCCCGCCGCCAGGCGAGCGCCGGGCCGCCGCCGCCGCCCGGACCTCCC